AAAAATGTTACTAGGAATCTATTTGGTTTACAGAATTTGTGTGTTTCGTGAAAGAAATTGGTGAATTTGTTATAGCCAAGAGTACAACAAATCTTTTCATATATATATATATATTTGAAAAAACATTTTAGTCAAAATTTGGCAGAAGTCAATTCCATCATATTATCAAAGAGCTCTGTAAGGAGTAGTAGATCCTTTTTTGTGCCAATTTCCAGCAACTGCGTCAGTTTGATAAGCAGGCAATCAATTGTCTGAAAAACATTCATTTGATGCCCACATGCTATCAAATAGCTCAGTAAGGGGTGAGATCTGATGAGTTGTCTGATGTCTGCTATCAAAGAGCTCCGTAAGGGGTGAGATCTGATCAGTTGTCTGATGTCTGTGTTGTTGGGATGTCCGTAATAATTATTGATCTCATCACCATTGTTCTGCACTGTGAGACTGGCAGTTTGATTGCTCTAATCAAATATTGATTTGGGATATTTATATTGAGCAGAAGAAGGAGGAAACACGGGATGTTCTGATGAAATTTTTAGATAATTTTTGCATTGCTGGGATACAAGTTCAGCGCTTACTGTTAATGGTTTGTTAACCTTATAACCATAGGATAAGTCTACCATTTATGAGACCGCAGAGCTGTCATTAAAAATGTCCCCCAGTGTTTTATTTATTTGTTGTTTGTTTGTTTGTTTGTTTTTTTACATCAATTGTTTTGTGCTTAAAAAGGGAGAAATAAGACGTTCTCCCACAAACCACCCTCTTGCCCAGCCGCCCTACCCTAGGTTCTAGATTCCGGTATTGCCAGCTTGATCTTGATTTCATATATAACCCATATCAACAATACCGGCTCTAGTGACCAGCGGCCATGTTACACTTCCATCAATCAAATAGAAATGCTCCGCAGTGAATCTGCAGTTGAATGTCATCAGACCAAAATGAAATGTAAAACAGATTTAATTCTGCTTTATTTAATTTTATTTGCTGTATTAAAGATGTAAAGTGAAAAAATAAATAATTTTCTTTGAACAGAAAAGATATATCCAATGTTTTTGTATTTTTTGCTTATCAAAGAACATTTAGTCCTGAGATGTACATGTGCGCAATACACGTGCTTGCCGTGTGCCAAATTTGACAACTACACTGTATGCCCGATACCACTATAAGGGCCGGCTGCGCAATGGCTACACCAAAATCAGTTTTTAAAGCAGAATGTTGCTTCTATTGTGGCACTGACCTTCGACTGCAAGATATTTTCAATTCAAACTTCGTCAGGCACTTTGCTTCTTGTCTCGTCTGCACGAGATAACTTCAGCGCGAGGCGGGAAAGGCATCTCCAGGTGGTGAAACCTGTGACGTACGAGACTTATGACTTCCAAATATGGATCCAGGGGGATGCAGCTGTGACGTGTGACTTCCAAATATGGAAGCGCCCCAGGCAAAATTTTGAAGAAGAACACCCTCAGATTGTCGCTGTATGTCAGAGCTAGTAAAAGCAACTCCATCACAAGGTATATATTTAACAAGCTAGCTTTTACGTTGCTCTGACACTCAGGGTAAGCCGCCCCCACCCCATTTTAAAATCCCCATAATTTTCTTCATTAAGAATACTTGTTTTAGTCTTTTTTTTCAGTAGAGAGATTGTCAGGTTGTTATTCATTGTATAAAATCTCATATGATGATAAAGCTAAAATGCTTGTTTATCACGACTGCCTGTCATAAGGGATATGTGAAAGTACCAAAGCTGTAGTTTGTCGGCTGTTGATAGCTGACTCAAGGGAGCTGTTACATATGAGCCCAATTCTTAGAATTTGCTTTTAAGCAAATCGGGGTTTTATTTTCCACTGACAAACAGCTTTACTTAGATTTGAAATAACTCTTTCTCTCTCTCTCTCCCTTTCCTCCCTCTCTCTCTCTCTCTCTCTCATAAGGAAAATGAAAAATTAGTCTTAACTTTCCTTGATAAGGATTAGAATTTCCCTGTTTGCAGTCTAGGAGATATTCTAAATATGGAAAATGAAATTTATTACAGCATTTTATCTCTCTCTTGGCATTTTGCTTTTAGGCTGCTTTTTGCAGAGCATTAATCATATCCTGTCTTCTTTATAAGAAAATTGGGAGGAAGAGTAGAAAGCTGATTGTGAGATTGATAATAAAATTACAGAACCTAATAGCCAGCATATAGCTAAAATAAGTCAATGAATGTTGGAATTATAATCATTGCTTTTTTTGCAGGAAAAAAATTGTATAAAAATGATAAATAATAAAATAAGTAAGTAAGGTAAAACAAAAAATTAAGGGTACCGAGTGTACTGAAAGTAATAAAAGAACCTTTTTAAATTGCGTTAAGCATTGTGCATTTCACAGCTCAGTGAAGGTTATGTATATGAAAAATGCAACCAGTATCCTCCATTCATAATATCATTGGTGAGAGGTGTTATCAGTTGTTCATTACAAGGCCCATAAACATGGCTTCATAAGCTTTACCTAGACAAGAGCGAGATTGATTCCTTGATGGTTAAGATAATGTATAATATCCTGAAATTCGATATCCTTTACCAGAGCCCAAGAGAATAAAAAAAAAACCCAGAATAGTCATTTTAATTGATATGATCACTCAAGATGATAAAAATATTGCAAAGTGCTCTCATTTCCTTAATGCTTTAGACTTAGTCTATATGTTGAGACAAGGATTACCTTGGACCGGAAATGGGCCCAACTTGCCTCAACAGACAGCCATTTTGACTACTCTGGTATTACAATGTCTGAAGTGCAGTGGGAGGTCTTATTACAGTGTACAGGATTACAGAGAGACATGATTGACCTCAGAAATATTAATATGTGGACCTCATAAATATCCAGTTGAATAATTCAGCATATTAAAACTGATTCGCACAACTAAAATTGTGATAGTTTTTTTTCTGAGAGCTTTTGACTACTACCCATTTCCTCAATCAGTAGGATATGCATTACCTTGATGACTCTACTGGTATTTGAATAGAGAGTTTGAGATCTATATTCGCTCCACAGTGGCCCTTGTCTAAACATGCCATTTTAACATCTTTTAGATTGCACTACTCCATGTACTACTGGTCTCTGATTTCATCAGAAAAATGACCAGTCTACCACCCTGTGATCTGATATATTTATATGGTAGATTGGATTTGTATTCTTTTTCAATTCCTTTAGTCTGGCATATGGATCCATCCCACAGGGCCTACATGTGGATTATGAATAAGGAAAAATTTGATTTTTCTGCTAAACTACATCCCGTTTCCTTTTATCAGCCAGCAAAGATCGAAAAGTGGCTTTGCGATAAAACCAATAAAAATGGTAGGATGTTCCAGTAATGGTAATAGAAAGCATCCTAGGGAGTTCTTGCTTACTGCAGAGTTTTTTTCTGACCTCTGTGTTGGCGATAAGCTAAGTAGCCATTGATTGGGCAGTGGTATTTCATAGGAATTGAAAGAATCGAATCAGTTAGCAAATGTCAGATCTGAGGCAAATGTGGTTGACTGTTTGATAAGTGATAGCAACAAGGCCTGGCCAAACAAGAGAAATTGTGATAGAATGGAGGGTTTATTTTAAAATCTGGATTACTGTTTCACTCTGATATGACCAAGTTTAAAGATGATTAAGCATCTCTAAGTTAAAGTTTGAACTTTTTTAAGGGGTGAAGGACAGAATTTACACCTGGGATTTACACCTTTTACACCCTGGCAGACATGGAGCTTGGTCAGCAACAGTGACCATATATTCTGCATGTTTGTTTGTAAAACAATGATGAAGTACGAAATATTAAAGCAGAAGAACACCCCTAGCAACGAGAGAAAATTACGAAAGATTTATGTTTGAGTGAACAAGTGATGATGTATCCCTTGATTAACTATTTGTCATTGATGGTTTTGTAAATTTTTCTCATCAGTCAGAGTCAAGCTTGGTGTCTTAATGTCTGGAAGACTGCCTTTTATACTAGATTCTTTCTTTAAGCAAGCACAGTAGGTGGGACTAATTGTGCCTAGAAAATAAGAAATTCTTCGATAAAGGGCTTTAAAGGCTGAATGATTTTATTTTGTAGTACACATGTGCTGTACAATAAGAAAAAATTAAGGTTTTCAAGGTGGATGAAGAATATTGTACATTGCTTTAGCTTAGCTTTGTTTCAGTTTGCTAAAAAAGATATGGCAGGAGGACTGATCAATGAAAAACAAAGATTCTGGTGATTTCGCACGGAAAGTTATTGACAGGTGACAGTTTTGTCAACAAAAAGCACAATTGAAGCCTATATGAATACATTAAGCCTACAACTGACTTAAAGTGTTACATCAAGGGGCAACTGAGATGTCAGTGAAGGCGTTTTGTTGAATTGGATTTTGTGAGAAAAACCACAGGTATACTGGGTAACAGGAGATCCTGAAAACCTTCATGACTAAAGTTTGTTAAGCAGTTTGTGCAGAGAGAAGAGAAAAAAAGGAGATTTTGGATTAAGGAAAAAGAAAAAAGAACTGAAAGATATAAATTAAGGCATTAATGATATTGCTTAGGGCAATGTTATATAAGCTCTATGACATAGTTGGGATATTTATGATTAATAACCTTAGAAGAGGATAAAACAAACATAAGAAGGTCACAGGGTCTAAGCAAAGATCTGACAAACATACTGGATGTCCAACTTGCAGATACATAGAAGGAACAAAGACCTTGAGCTCACATATTTCATGTTTGAGTTTTATTCTTGGTTGACAATGATAAGAAACAATCACTGCTATATTTGTCAACAAACTGTTTGTCAGCATTAATAACTGGAGAAAAAATGTGACATAAACATTTGCACTGGACATATTTGACCAAGAATAGACATACAAAGTGCTGATATATGTGCACACGCTAAGCAGCCTCAGCGGAGATTGACATTAGATTTGACTAATCTGTAAATCAGATAGTTAAAGTATGCCATTCTAGACATATTAAGACTTTATCAGTTAGCAATTTGGCCATTGGTGTGGTTGTAACAGAGCAGCAGAGATATTGAGCTTCATTTTCTCTTCCTGAACTTCATTAAGACGGATATAGACAAAAACATGGACAGAAGCTCTGCCTTCAGCAGAAAATGTTAAGAGAAGAGAGATATTTTTAGAACTAGTATTTAAATGGAATTTTAAAGCTGGCATTGATGTTCGTCTAAGGAACTATAATGAGTTTATACAGATAAAAGATAAGAAGATTTAAAGAGTTTGCGGATGGTTCTTGTTACAGTGTTCTAGGGATAGGATGAAGAAGAAGGTATATTTTGGAAACAGATGAAGAATTTTCATCTTCTGCACTAATTTTTAACATTTTTTACAATTTAAATCCATAATTTGATTGTTGTACTTTTTTCTCAGCAGCTGTGTGGTTGCATATTGATAATTTTTTTCAGCTGTCTGTGTATTGACTTAAACATTCACCCATTGCTTATCAAGTACCTTATCTTAGAGAAAAACTGCACAGAAATGTATACTTCAGGTTTAATGGAGAAAGGGATATGCAATGCTGTGGATATTGAGAAACAGTGTAGATAAGACAAAATCAAATATTCAGCCATTTTCCTCAGTCCAGGCAGGCAGTTATTTGTGAAACTCTGCCAAAAAGCACGGCGCAACAACTGGCTTGAAAGAATTGAGAGAAAACATATCATATCCATCATAGTTCTTTTTTGCTTCTGTGCACATATCTCCAGAGATTCTGGAAACGGCTGTCTGTCGGATAGCAAAATAGTTTGCTGTAGGTACAACAGTTGTTTAGAACGAAGAGAGCATTAAGTACAGGAAGAAACAGTTGATCCGTGGCTGAGGAGGATCGACAAATGATATTATTAATTCAGTACCACTATTGCAATCGTTCCATCTGAGAGATAATTGCTACACCAGATCTTCATGCAACTGTCAAACAGTATGGATGGGAAAAGAAGGCAATCTGAGCCTTCAGTGGTCTATTCTAGTCTTACTCCAAGAAAAAGGTGAGTTTTTTAAAAACCGATGTATGCATGGCCAAAATGATGCTTGAATAATTTGCAGGAAGGGTGGAATGAAAGGTTATTCATCAAAATCACTCTAAATACATTGAGTTTAACTTTGATGTGTGTGGAAATATTGAGGACTTCTGTTAATACCAGCAAATCTTTACAGCTCTCTTTTTGATAAAAACTTAAAATGATTAACAGAACGCTCTACTATACTTACTATATGTAGGTGTAAATTGTTTCCCAAATACTGTTAAGGAAGAGGTTATTGTTACTCGGGTTTTGTCCATGTACACGTAATAATTGTGACAGTTATGAAACACCCTGGCAAACTGCCATTGTTTTATTTATCTGTTTGGTTTCTGAGACCATGTTCATCTTGCAGTAAAACTTTTGAATGAGAAATAATAAACTTCATCATTTGTGAATACAATTTATGAATGAAACTTTCTCTTTATTTCCTTTTGTTCAAGTTTTACATGAAATATAAGGATGGAGGAATCATTCTTACTTCAAAGGCAGGAAACTTACTAGAGGAAATTTCAGATATTATTTTCATCGCAATTCCAATTTTGAATGAAATGATTGTTGATGGCTGTGTAATGGGACAATCAAGCAGGAATGATCATTCACAGAATAAAGGATGAAGCCTTATTTTCCATGTAAAGCAAATTATGACACATGGTTCAAGACCAATTTTTAGTTCTTAATGTCACGTTTTCTGTTTCATTACTTTCTTGTCATGCACTTCTGACGCTCTTGTCAACCACTAATAAGGCTACTTAAGATTGGTAATTTTTGTTTATCAGTCTTAGAGATCACATGTAGAGCACGCAGAACTCTCAGCATTTTATTGTCAAAAAGTGATATTTGATCAGTGAATTCACTGTAGAAGAATAAGAATTGGTGGAATGCACTTTGGAAGAATGCGGTTATCCTGAATTCACATAGGAAGAATTAGTGGCAGTATGTGAAGCATATAACAATTGTGGAGAGAGATGTTACGTAAAATCTGACTGTTACCTGTACGTATGGTTTGTTGGGTTTCATATTTAGAAGGTGCATGTATAATTGCTATATAATAGTTATATGTACAACTTATCAGTTGGTTTGAAGACAAAAAAAAAGTTGATTCCATTAATTTTTGATGGAGTTCGGGGTTCTAGGTAAATGTAGTTAACTCGTGTGATTTGAATCATGGAGAGAAAAACAAAACATGGTTTGTACATTTTCACATTTCAAAATGACAAGAGCTTTAGAGCATGGTTTATGGTTTAAGACTGTGCTATTGATTCTTGTCATGTCTGAGAAGGCACTCAGGTTCTTCACTGATTACAGTCAAATTTGGACCACTTAATGTAATTAATCTACTTCTAAAATAACCTGCAATTAACTGGATAACAATCAAATTTTTAGTCTGTACCATCCTTTCCTTCGAATTTGTTTTTTACATAATGCCTCAGGACAGATGTGCTCTGAAATTTTGCGAACGTTAATTTGTGAATATTCCATTAGCCTGTTGGAATCGTTTGAGGAAGCAGTTTTCTGGGCGCCAATGTGAGTTTTGCCTGCCAAGAATATGTTGACAGGGGGTATTGATTGCAATCGTGTGCATTGATTTTTTTAATGGTTGGTAATGGCACACTTAGCCATGCACATGTTACATTGCTTTGAAGAGATAGAGAGAAAAAGGGAGAGGATGAACGTGAGACGGGAGAGGGAAATCATTTAGGGGGAAGATGGCAATAGATAATCGAGTCTGACAGCTAAATAATTTCTCTTTTAGAGTTGACATTTCCTTATGTAAATCACCATTTTCAATCAAAACACATTGAGTATCGCCATTATTTTCCATTTGCTATCCATATGCGAACAATATAAAAATGATAGAACTAGGATAGATGAAAAAATAACAGAAGGATGAGTTATTTTCGATTCATAGCTGTCTTAGTCGTGTAACTGCTCATTTTATATTCAGATATTATGGGATATTTGACAATTTGAAGAACATGTTGTTGGTATTGATTAACAAAAGTTGCCATTTGAGCTGCATTCAGACTGGATCATTGTGAGGAGCACATGTAACAAAACTCTGTTGATTTACTGGTAGCACTTCAGTCACTGAAATAATTAATGCAGCTGTTCAGACAAAACAGCTTGGTTAAGTTAAAATTGCATCTTAAGACAATAAAGTGCTTAGAAATGTTTTTTCCTTTGATTGTATTGAGTGACAAGTTGCTATAAATTTAGCATTAAATATTTAGTGAAAAATTATATTATATACTTGACAGCTGATTGCTGGCTTGCTTGATCTAAGCAGGCTTAATTGATATAATGCAAGCAACGTATCCTTTGTCATGAATAGAATATTTTGAAGCAGATCTGTTGCAGAGAGAGAAGTTTTTTCACATTTTAAACAGTTTGTATATTGGTTGTAGTCTCTTGTAAAAATTACACATGAAGCAAATGTGTATTGTCAGCAATTTCAAAGGTGTGTGGGGGTATTTATTCTGAAAAAAATGTGGACCTTTTTACTCCCTTAGTTGACCTTACTTGAAAAATGAATAGAATCTAGATCAAATTTTGTGTCAGGATTAATGGAGCTTTTTAGGTGATAAGAATGATTCTTTCTCTCTCCTCCCCCCCTCCCCCTGCAACCAGCTCCATCTTTCCCTGTGGGCCTGTACATATAACACCAATCCTTACAATTTAATTAACAGACATGGTACTCTGTGAAGGCGTCACAAATTAAATAGGAAATGAAGGTGTGTGTTTTAACACTGTTGATTCCTAGGGAACGTCTGTGTTCAGGATGCGGAGAGAAGAAGATCAACAAGCTCCATATTGACACTTGGTTAGAGCTCATTACAAGGTCCTAGATGTGATCAATAATTTGCCCGACTCGGGTGTCGGATTACGATGGGCGAGAACTGTGAAGTCGCGCTTACACTGGAGATAGCTCGGCTCTTCTCTGTAAAATCATTAAAAGTTGCTAAATGGAAGAAGAAGAAGAAATTTTTTTGCTCCATTCAATAATTGGTTGGTGTTGGTGGTGAAAGCAGGAGGCCCCCTGATCGAGTGGCATGATAAATTGATAAAATACTGAGATAGGTACTTGAGCGAGGTTAGCAATTATTGAAGGGTAAATAAAGATGTTTCTCAGTTGGTTCTTTGCTGAGAGAACCACAGGAATATATCTCTTGCCTGTGGTGTGAACTGATGGTCAAACGAGAAGGGTGCACCAAGTAGGGTCAACCTATCTTCAGTGAAAATGTCACTTAAGATGTGTACACTGATCTACACTTTGTGATGACGTAAAATTGAAAAGGAAAAAAAATGAATAGATATGTTCATAATGATTAAAACCATAGTACTGTTAATATATTTGGATATATGAAAGATGATCTTTAAAAACATTATTTTAAACATATTAGGTCACCACTGTTAAATTTATGAACCTTGGGTTGTTTGGTACACATTTTTTAGTTAATTATTAACTTATGCAGGCTGCATATGATACCTATGTTTTGATGTGGCGTTTGGTGAATAATTAATCACATATCTCCAACTTCTGTGATTGGCAAAGTCTGTCGTCTTTTGATGTCTGTTTTAAGCCTTGCTGTATTGCGTTCAATTTTGAAAGAATTACGATGATGATTAGTTAGAATAGAAAGTCAGATTTCAGGACATTTCAGTAACAAGATAAGGAAAGAGAGAGAGGGGGAGCAAGGGAGGGAGAATAAGGGAGAGAAAAAGGTAGTGTTGGGGGCAAGTCAACATTTCTCTAAACCATGGACTAGCATATTATAGATATAAATCATTGCTTAAAACAAAACTTTGCTATGTAAATGTGTTTGCCTAATCCATACAAGAATTACATAATCCAGCTTTCAAACACAAATAGCTTTTAACTAATCAAAATGCTAGCCAGTTTTTCCCAACTTACTTGCATAGTCCTATCCTTTCAGACTATATGGTCTAACTAAGTCAAAACTCCCAGATTTGAGCCCTTTTCCCTTCACTTTGTTTTGAGATCCGAGGGCTGCGAAATATTATCTTGTATGTTTCTCACTCATTTTTAGCCAATGAGAGAAGCTCAGAAAATTTCAAGAACATTAACGTCTAAGGCTAAGGCGCTTTGTGTAAATATTATCGCAGGTGAATGCCATCGTTGGCAATATAGGCTGTAAGTTTACTTGGAAACTAGCTACGACTAGAAGATTATCTTAGTGCTGGACTGAGGTGATAAAAGCAAAGTTTCTGCATACAGTTATCAAAATGCAGGCATCATGTTGGGAAGCTAAGAGGATAGTCGGGATTTTATTAGGGCAGTTCAAATGTTAGAAGTGAACGTGGGTGGGTATATTACTGCAAGAGAGTGTGTGATTAACTTTTTTGTATTACTGTTGATTTTGCTTTTAACAGATTAATATACTATACTGTTTTTCAATTACTGATATGAACATTGAATTAGGGTTAGTGGTGGCAGTTGGTGGTGGGGGGGGGGGTTACCATGCTTTATATGTGTTAAAAAGAACCATAAATAATATATGACCAATTTTAAGCACTTGTCAACAGATTACTTGGAAGCTTGTAACTGGTGGACATTCTGAAATCAAACACTGTAAATGGGCAATGCATAACTTACATCTTAACAAATTCTACACATGTAACTGAAGTGCAATAATTTCTCCCAAGAGAGTCGGAATCTTTGGAGAACATGTACAATATGCCCATTGGACAAGGGAGTCCAAGTTCTGTAATTGGAAAAACAATTAACACTATTTACCCTTGGGGCCAGAGATGTGTGGTTATGCAAGGAGAAATCTGACCCAAGGGAAAAAGAAAAGATTGGTTCCCATGGGAGATATTGTATACGGAAAAGAAATATTGGAGGAGGGAGAAAGAGTGAGAGAGAGAGAGAGGAGGGTAAGAATCCGAGGGAATGTCAGCATGCGTGTGTGTGTGTGTGTGTGTGTGTGTGTGTGTGTGTGTTA